TTCTGAGTGAGCAACAGTTTGTTCATTTTGGTTAAAACCCTGGCCCCTTTGCCGTTGAGAGGCATCTCTTATTTCATGCAATAACGCACTTACTTGGGCATGTAATATGTCTACGGTGTTACCCCCATCTATCTTCTAAGGATAACGCACTAAAATACTAAAATGCTGTTCATTGACAGTAGTTTGACATTCTGTTGCTACTTTTTTTTTTTTTTTTTTTTTTCAACAAAAAACGTACAACCAGAAAAAGATTTTGTATTTCCATAAGTGGAGTAAAACTATGGAATAATTTAAGTGTGGACATAAAAAATAGTAATAGAATTGACGAGTTTAAACATAAATATAAAGGTATGTGTCAATCAAGATATATGCAAGAACAGGCTCATCAAGTAAGGAACATTCAAACTTAACAAGAACAAGTTAAATACTTAACTATACCATCATATGTGGGGGCTGTAACCGCTATCAAATACAGTTATACAGTTATATACTTATCTATATAACCACATGTGTGTAGGGGCTGTAACCAGTGTCTGTTTATCTTTTCAGATGCGGTTAACCACGACTTCCTTATCTCTGGCTGCAGATGCGTCACGACTTCCTTATCTCCAGCAGCAGATGCAGGAGGGTGGGGGTACCCCTGGGGGCCACGTGGGGGCCATGTGGGACCAGGAACCGGAAGAACGAGGGACTAAGGGGAGGGGCCACCTGTCAAATTAATTCTGATGAGATGTGGTACCTTTACTGTGTGTCTCCTGGCAACAATGAAAATATTGTTACTTTTTAGCTTAAAAATTCCCATCAGTATGTCTTAAATCAGTTAAATAAGTGGATACGGTATGTGCAATCAGTGCGGTAATCTGTCTTGTATGTCACCTGTAGGCACAGCACTGGGCTCATGTGGAGCTGATTTTGTTCTCCCTGAGGTATGATCACATGAAGCTGATGAAAGGATGATGGCTTAACAGGGCATGGCAAGTAAAATCACTTAGTGCCCAGATGAAGTGGTGAGCAGCACTGGTTGGGATCTTTCAACTGTGACAATATCCACCTGGCTCAGTGGTCACAAAATGTCCTGACTGTATCCAAGCAAAAGAGGATTAGTCAGCCCAGCTAATTTCAGCCAGTCAGCACAAGGAGCACTCTTGCTTGTGCATGGCATAGTGTGTGTGCAGGAGAGGGAGGTTCAGGTTCATTTCAAGGCAGTGGACATTTGTTGTCAAGCAGTAGCATGTGCATGTGCTATGTTTTGTGCAGAGAAAAAAAATTGTGGCAGTCAAACTCAAGGCAACACTGACAGCATTGTACATTGTGCCTTCACCATCCTTACCACTTCCTCTGACTTCTGCTGTTTCCCTATGAAAAGGCAGCACTTCATTTATTTGGAAACAGGTTGTATAGGACTACAATCTGAAAATCAAATACTTTCCCCATTAAACTTATGGGTGTTTGCAGTGTAGTTGCATAGAAACATTTCAGGAGGCTGATTGAGTAGGCTATAAAATAGTAATTCGGTGGTTTAAAAAAGACAGCACAGTGGTAAGATTATACAGCTGTTAAACCTCTTTTCTTCCCCTCTCTGTGCGTTTTAATGAAGACAAATTGTCACCATTTTTTGTGATAAAATTTATAGACGGCTTTATGTTTGCCACATCATCACCGCCACAAAATCAACATAACTACAGTGTTATGACAGAAGCTGTGTGATATAACACATAGTCAAACTCTTGTTACGTACTGATATCACGAGACAGCTTTTGCCTCAACGACAAATGCCGTCACATTTTAATATCACAAGACCTTGTGGCACGAGATCCCAACATCCCTACTTATTACTACATCATGAAAAACATTCAGTCCGAATCTCACTCAAAGCACATCAAAGTGCCAAGATCACAGAATTTCCAGTGTTCATCTTCCTAACACCTTCCTGTCCAAAGTTATAGACATTTCATCCTCAAATACCTGACAAACTCAAATATAGTGAAAGATTTATCAAAATGCGGTTTGGTATATCTTTCACCATATTTTGCCAGTCCATGCTGGTTCCAATGAACCAGTTCCCATCTTCCAAAGACCTTCCTGTCACAACACAATTGATCCATTCTGAGGATGAAATGCTGCAGTAAAGGCCTTGTAAAACATCTCAGTGGAGGAAACTCAGAATTGGTGATGCCCATGGGTTCAAGACTTCAGGAAGTTATTTACTACAAAGGATTTGCATCCAAGTATAATTATATATTTTTTTATGTTTGTCCAATTACTTTTGAACATCTGAAAATGGGGGGATATTAATAAAAATGGCTCTAATTCCTGAACAGTTAATGCAATATTTTTGTAAAACCCCTTAAATTAAAGCTGGAAGTTTACACTTTTAAAACATATTGACTGCTTCATTTGAACTCCACTGTGGTTGTGTAAAGAGGCAAAATGAAAAAAATTGTGTCCTGTACTTTGCCTCTGTGAGCAAATCTCTGATTCAATTCCACTGAAGTATACTCAAAGTGATATAATGCCCGCTGTGCCACAAGGATGGCATACTGACACTCGATTCATCCAAAAAATAACCAAAACTGATTAGAAACTACAGTATTTGTTAGCTTTCGTTTCAAAGTATCTTTGCAGTATATTACCATTTTAAACTGAAAGTGTTCATATAACCTTCTCAGCACTGTGTATTCATTGGGCAGTTGCCTGAAAAGTGGTAAAAACAAATACATTCCTGTGCAGTTGTAACAGATGTGTGCATCTGCTGGTAGCTTGGTAGGAATGCTAGAGCTTACACAGCAGTACTTTAACCT